CAGCGCTTTTGTGCAGGCAAGAAAATCTCCACCAGCTGCTTGAGAGCATCTGAATGGAGGCTCACGGGGAGGGTCGGCATGTAGAGAAGAAAAAAAATTGAAGGAGAAAAAGAAAGGGACAGACCCTAAGTGATGACTTCTGATTGCCTTACTGAGAATCAAGAACCTCGATCTGCGCGGAGTCGCAAAGCTTTTTGCTTTCGGGTGCCTACCCAAAGCACATGACAGCCCTCTTGGTTTTTCTCAATTGGTGGCAGGGGTGAGCGCGGTGGGGTCTGTCCTTGCTGGCCTCAATTCCACCTGCCCAGTGGCCGGCTCTGCTCAGGGCCCCCTGTGCACCCTTGGCGGGCCCTCCTGGCTGGCTCATGCCTCTGGGTGCCTGCTTTGCTTGGACCCTGGGTGTCCAGACCAGGCTGCTGCAGGTGTGGGGCCCCCTGAGGTCTGGCTGGCCGCCCCACCGGGCAAGCTGAGCCCCGGGAAGAGAGAGGCAGGGATGCCAGCCTTTGCCCTGCCTGTGTCCAGCCCCTTTCTAACGTGAGAATTGTTGCCACAGGACCCCTCACTTCCCGTGTCTTTTTCTTGTGTGCAAATGCATGGCAAAGGTTCGCAATTCTTAAGAATATTAGAGACCGTTTGTTTTCGTCTTGTTCTTTATCTCGTTCCTCTGTACCCGTGCCAGCAGAGCCCCCGTGAGCTCTCTCATTCGCCTGTGCCAAATCCCCACGTCCACGCTCTGAATGAGCAGCTTAAACCGTTCTCTCTTCTTCAAACACGAGAGCTGGACACACGGAAGCCAGCGGGGCTGCCATAACGCTCCGATTTCTGCCCCGCGGGGAGTTCCTTCCACACACTGGCCCCGCCGGGTAGACGTGCTTTGTCTTCCGTCGGCCAGAGCAGATGACCCAAGCCCCAGTCCAGTGCTCCTGCCCGTGTGTTCGTCCCGCTTCTCAGCCTGACCCGGGCTGCCTGCACCCAGCCCGCCCTGGCCGAGAGCCGCCGCTCTTCCCCTGCACTGTATTGTGGGTGACGGTCTCGACACGCAGGCCGCGAGGCACATTTTATCCCCACTTTCCAGATCACAATGGGAAGGAGCTTCCTAGTGGGTGCCCGGGTCGATCGCGGCCACCGGGGTCGAGGAGGGCAGTTGACCATCCAGACAACCGCAGTTCACATCACGTGAGAGGAACCGTTGTAAAGTGAGCGTCTCAGTGCCGCTCGGCGCGTTCGCGAACATGGTGCCACCGCCACCTCCGTCTAAGTCAGAGATCTTCCCAGTACCCTAAGAGGAGACTCTGTACCCCTAGCACTGCCTCTGCATCTCCCCCAGCCCCCAAAACCTCCAGGCTGCTTCCTGTCTATTGATCTCTGTGTCCTGGACATTTAATATAAGTTGAGTCCTGTGACACGGGACCCTTTGTGTCCAGTGGCTGTCACTTAGTGTCCTGTTTTGGAATCTCATTGTGCTGTAGCCACCATCACTGCTCCGTCCCTTTTATTTTTTTAATTTTTTAAAAAGATTTTATTTATTTATTTGACAGACAGAGATCACAAGCAGGCAGAGAGGCAGGCAGAGAGAGAGAG